CTTGCCTCCCTATAATTATTTAACTACAGACGTGACTCTGTGAAGATAATCACCATGTTCACTCGCAATTGAGATTCACACTTCCGAAGCCTTTTACCTACGATATTTTTCTCATTCTCTTCCTTTGACAAATGAAGAGGTTATTTTTGTTATTTAAATTTTTATTTTTAAGAAGGATAAATTGGTAATTTATTAATCGTTCGTATATTTTATTGATAAAGAACTTTGAACATAGTTTCTTTTGTTTCTTAAGGAATATAACTCTAGTCGAATCAAGTTGAAAGTATTTTCAACTCGACTCGGGCTTATTTAAAAATAAGGTAAATATTGAAATAAATTTCACGCGGAATAATCGGAATTAATTGATTAAGGTGACACAAAATGTTCGGGTAATTGTTGAAAATAATTCGCAAAAATAAATAGAATGCACTTACGGAAAAACTAAAGACTAGGAAAAGAAAGAAATAGCACGAAAAATAAATTAAAAGTGATATATATGTACAATTCATGACAAATCTGTAGTGATACAAATTTATGTATAATCTCGATCGTTTAATATAACTAAACATTTAATTAAATTTGTTTGTTGTACCAGACAACATTATTAAAAATGTGATTGTGATTGTAATTAAATTAATAAAAAAAAAAATTTTCTTTAAACTAATAATTCTTCGTTATTTGATATCTTTTGTTGATAATTCTTCCGGTTTTTCCCTTTATATTCCTTTACTTTATAAACAACGAGTATTGTTATACAAATTAAACCTATTATTATAACTGCGATCAAAACAACCCAACGTGGTTTCAATCCAATGTTCTTAAATATGGAGCTTCCGCCAACAGATACATCCGTTTGAATGGCGTTAGAAGAGTTAGAAAATGTAGTAGTTGGTTCTATTTTTTTTGAATCGTCAAAGTTGGACAATAACGACCATTTATACTTTAATGGATCTGATACATCTAATTTATAGATCTCCTTATTATGATCTTTCGAAGGGTCTTTTTCCGATTCATTTTTACCTTTAAAAATGACAAGCGCATTGTTAAAAAAATAGAAATTCACCAATTTATTATAGATGAAAAATGTTAAACCAATTATATTTACCAAATGCGAAAATCATGTAATTGTTAACCATGATCGCTGTATGTTCGCTAAAAGATCCAATATTATTCTCTTCTGCAGGTGTTGACCACTCATATGGTGTTTTTGAGGTATCCAATGTTGCCAATTGTGGTAAGGCTGGCACGGAATTCGATATTCCACCGTATAATATGACACGTCCATCTGAAGCTAAAAAAAAAATTGAAATTTTAATCTTAATGATTACATGAGAGTTTATTTTCTTGGTATGATGCTTACTTGAAACAACTGTATGCTTGATACGTCCTTCAGGTGCATTACCTGCCGTAATCTATATAAAAATTACATTTATGAGATAATTACCCAATTGACATGTTCAATGGATCAAAAGATTTCTCATACCATCATTGTCCATGTATCAGTTACGCTATCATAAGTTAATATCCTACTCATTGACTGTTTTACTTTATCAACAGTTCCACCAACATACAAAATTCTACCATCTGACAACATTACTTGCGCAAATTCAGTGTAAAGATTAAATTTATTTGTAAAAAATTCTTGTGGATTTGAAGTGCTATTTATCCATTTCAAATTAATCGTATCAAATATTGCTACGCCACCTGCAATTGAACTAAATGAGTAGGCTTTACCGGTTCTTTCATCTGATACCCAATCTTTAAAAAATGTCACGAAGGGTTTCTCGATATTTACATTTATTTCCCATCGATTTAATTTAGTGTCAAATATATCAGCGAATGAATTATCAAATAATGTCTCCAAGAACATTATTTGATTATGAGTTTTACCTCCCAAAATTGGACGGTTGGAAACAAAACCATCTGGTTGAGGTTTAACTATGGTTAGGTCAACCAAATTGGTTTTATTAACAATAGTATCACTGTCTAACGATATGTCTTTTAAGTCCAAATAAAAAAAATTAGATTTTATGCTGGTTAGAAAATACAATTTATTCTCGATAAAAAACGAATTAAATCCGAGTCCACCAAAAATGTTTAGACAATTTGCCAAAAGAATGTGATTAAAAATGATTAACCACGTTGAAAAAATTAAACTTGAAAACAAGTTTGTCATTTTTTTTTAATTACGTAGCGTTTATTTTATTATTTTTTTTTTTTTTAAAAGAATGTTAAAAAAAAAAAAAAAAGAATTGGAACGAAGAGAAACACCGAAAGTAAACCCTATAAAAAAGGATTTATCCCACAAGTGTATATCACCGTGATAAAAACAAATAACAATGTTTTCATTAAACAATTCATGTTAGAGGTCAGCCACTTATTTATTAGATGAAACGAAATGATACACAAATTAAAACACTTTGTTTCAGGCTTTGTTTTATTTATATTTATTATCAATTTCCATTTATAAGCATCGTATATTATAAAAAAAAAAACGACACATAAATATATAAATAAATATATATATATAATAAATTGACAGAAATGAAAATTTCGACCATTGCAGTTAAAATAAGATAACCAATTCTAGCTTGTAAAATGTCATCAAGTCTTCAGGATGTGTCACTTGCAAAGTGGCAATGGCAAGATCCCTTAACGAGATTCTTCCTAATTACCATAATATTTATATGGGGTTATGTTCTCGAGCTTTGTGGAGAGCAGCCTGATTATAATCCCGAACTTCAGTATTTGATGAGTTTCGGATCATTTATAGTGGCCCTTATTGTTGGGATCCTGGCTCAAGCCACTCTTGCTCATATGTTTGCTTACATACAGGGATACTTTTTGCTCAGAAGACATGGAATTCCTCTCGAAGCCATCATGAGTGGTGAACAAACTCCATTAAGAGTTCTATCAGCATGTCTTGTAATATTTAAACAAAATGATGTCAGTACTAAAGGTTATAAAAAACGAAAATACACTAAATACTTTCAGATAGCTTTGTACTCGAGCACTTTATTTGTTTATATTGCAAGTGTTGGTGCTGGTGCGTACGCTTCATCAAAGTTGGGAACGCCTTACGTTTATATTACCACCCCAATTAAATGGGCACAAACTCCAACGGTGGGGAAACAGGATAGCTTGAATAATGCGTTTATTTCTCGGAATTTCATCGGAGCAATGAACATGATTCAATTTAATTCATTGGCTAAATGGGTTGATAAGACCAGAGGAGATAAACGAGAGATAGCATTTCTGCCAGTAACTTTTACTACATTAAAGGATGCTTTAGTAAATGCCAACCTTGGAGATACGAATGGTATCAAGTGGAGGGTAGAAATGGAATTGGATAATATTAATATGCAATACTTGGCCGCTCAATGTAATGCTGATCCAAATCCTCCTTGCGATTCTAATATTACAGGAACA